GCACGTCCTCAGGCCACCCCTATTTGAAAATAACCATTCGTTAAGTCTAAAGTCGTCATAAATTTGGTTGATTTTATGTTCCTTAAAATTTCTTCTATGATCGGTAACGGATATACCGGATATTTCGTTATGGAATTTAATTTACGGTAATCAATAGCGAATCTCCACCTTTTTGGATGCTCCAAAGGATAATCATTATTTTTCTTACATAAAACCACCGGGACTAGCATAACTACTTGAGATAGGCGTTATGATCTTTTTACGTAGCATATCGGTAATATGCCATTCTATAATTTTTTCCTTATTCTTATCATACCGGTATGGTTTTTGACGAACCTGGCAATGCATCTCCGGTGTCAATACTATGGTTAGTAACCTGAGTAAATCCTGGAATATCACTAAATAAGGAAGCAAATTCACTTACCACTTGTCGGATTCTATCTTGCTCGTCATTAGGCAGGTGGTCAAGATTTAACCTTGGCGGTTCAACCTTTTCTACACGCACTGGTTTCATTCGTCAGCTTAAGGGACGCTTCATTAAAATCCAGTGTAGCTTGTGCGTCTGAAAGAAAGTCTATTCCTAGATTAAATGTGCTTGCAGATTCTTTACTATAAAAAACATCACCTTTACTTGTTCGTCCTTGATACGGATATACAAAGGTACTTTACCTACGCACTTACATTGTTCTCCTTGCGCCGCTAATACTGTTGTATTATCCGCATTATATATGCGGTATTTGCGAAAATACTTTCTAAAAAAGACTTCTGCCACACAGGAACACTGCGCGCCGGTATCCAGGAGTGCGGTGGCCGGGATATTATTTACCAAGACTTCAATCTTCGGAAGAGTTAAATTTTTCACCATTACTGTATTTAACTTGTAGGAAGAGGGGTTTTCGTGGCCTTCGGATTTCCGCACCCTCTCGTCAGCAGAAATCCGTTTTAGTTTAAATTATTTTTCCTTTCCGTGCTTTCCTTCTTTTCTCCACTGGCCTTGAGACTTTTTTCCTGGGTTGCTATTGAACTGTCGACGTTCGCCGGCTGTTTTTGAATGCTCGGGTTTCCTTGCCCACTGATTCGCTTTTTTCTCCGTAGCCATGTGCTTGAGTTTGCTGTAGTCTTGGCGTACCAAATTGGTTTCGCTGTTGATATTGGCGTCTTCTTTCGACGTCGTCCGCCGTTCTTCTACTTTCAAACTGGATTGCTAGCTCAAATAACTTTTCCAGTGTAGTCGGATTTCTTCAATTCAATAAAGTCTTGCACTTGGGGTAGTAACCTCGGCAAAATCACTTGAATTATTTCAGGATCCGGACGGTTTCCATACAAGAGCTTGAAAACGTGAATTTTTCTTAAAATAAAGCTCGAGAGGTTTTCCGATTCTTTGTTGATATATACTGAAAAGTTCTGTTTCTAATTTCGCACGATCCCTTACAACAGGGAAGGCTTTTAGTAGGGCAGTCTTGAAATTTTCGTAAGTATAGGTGGGACTTCCTGCTTGACCCAAGAGACTTCTGCCGATACATTTGAACCAGTTAAGCGCTTGGCCCCTCAAAGCGCTGGTAGCTAAGGTAACTTTTTGAAACTCGTGCACGGGGTAGAGCATGAAGTGGTCATCCAATTTTTCCAAAAAACTGGTTACCGGTGAGTTTCCATTAAACGTTGCTTCTGGTTTCATCGAAGCGCGCATGGTCTGGACGATGTACCCAAATCCTTCCAGGGCGGCAGCTGGCATTTCTGGATTCTGAGCCGTTTCTGCAGGCAGCACAGGTTCTTCTTGAAATTCGGCCATGGTTATTCTTCGTCGGGCGCCACTATCAGGTTCAATGTTCCTTCTAACCTTCTTCGGAAACATACAATGACCTGACTAGGAACAGAGAGCTTACTAAAGCTATGTTCACTAATTGTAGTAAGTAGACAGGATACAGACGAAGGGTATACAAAAACCCTTTATTTTTTTCTTTATATACAATGACTTCCGTACTTCGGAATACAATGACCCTCCACTCGGGGTCTAACGTAAAAGATATCAAAATAAAACTAAACTCTAATTTAACTTTAGAATAAGATTGGCCTTATAATAACAGGAAGCGTATGTAGCACAGAGACTGTGAACACTACAATACGTTTAATTTATCAAGAGGATTAAAACCTCTGGCCTGGAAGGCAAAAATAGCAACTGCGTAACTTCTAAGGTAAGCGGCCTGCTTCGAACTCACTGCTTCCTCTCTTCTGCTTGGCAAAAAGGCCACACTTAAATACTTGGCGTTCGCCAGACAAACTTTGCATAAACTCCTTCACGCTTATAATTCTGGCCGGAAGTAGAAAATAAGAAGTGATAGTAAAGATTTAAAATAAAATAAACGTTAGTAAAACTTAAGATCCTTACAAGATATCTTAGAATATTATAAAGGTGACTATTACTTAGCTATTATATGGAACTTAGAAGTAACTTAGAATCTTCCTCTAAAATGTTAAATTTAATTAAAATGTTAAATTAAATTAAAATGCTAAATTAAAACTAAAATTAATAAACTGGCAAGAATAAAGAGAATACTTCCACCTATCAAAATGAAGAACAAAAGTGGAAACCTAGTGATGAGAATATCAGAATAAAATGCAGTCAATACTTTGTGATGAGTCCTCTGTTTTTGATAATATTTGGCACGGAGTTCACCAACTATTTCGTTGTCCAGAAAAAAAAAAAAAAAAAAAAATTAATCCATTCATCTAGGAGAAACCTTTTTAAATATTTCACAGTCAGTATATTGTGATCCTTTACTATGTTGTCAAGTTCTTTCCATAAAGGCTTGATGGGATTTAAGTCAGAGAACTGAGCTGGATGGCTAAGAATGTGGGATGTACGATTATGATAGAGCAACCAACAGACACACAATGAGTCTAGGGTTATTGTCTGTCGGAAGAAGAATTTGCTGCATAAATTTGTTTTGCTACACATAAATAAAACTATATTCTTCTCAATATTTCACAATTTGAGCTTTTAATTCTGTTAAGACACTTTAGATCTTCTCTTATTCTACTGTATTAACTATAATTCTTGTATTTATTATTGAATTCTCTGTGTTATTCCTCACTCTAATGATTATTTACTTCTTTCTTTCAATAGCAGAGTGTGGATGTTGCTTTGTGTTATTAAGTAAAGTAATGAATTATGGGTTATGTTACAGATTCTTATTGGGATCTCCATAAATGGTCTGTAGAAAATTACGCCAGTTTGTGGGAAGAAATATGGAATTTCTTCGGCGTTGTGGTATCCAAACCTTATGACAAGGTATTGCTATTTTTCCTATGTTAAGTGCATATTCAATGATTTATTTTTTACAAATAAGCGATCGAATGCTTTTATGCTAACGAACGTTTACCTGCAAACCGTTAGGATTGTTTTCAAATAATTTTGTTGAGCTTTACATATTTTATTTCTTTCCAAAGGGTTATTCATAAAATCAATACATTTTCCCCGTGGTTTTGCCAACTGATGGAAAAATGAGAAATTTTCTAGAATTACTGACACGGAACATTTTTAAGGGCATGCAACCCATTTTTAAAATTTCATCCTCTTTAAATTCCGTTTTATCTATGAAATTAATTTTAGAGGGTTTCGGTGTCCGTCAAAACAGAAAAATGCCATTTTGAGCAAAAGAAAGACTTGGTGAGTAACGTCAGTGAAAGACGTATGTAGCAGGTTTTCTTTTCCCAAGAATTATTGGCCTGAAACTGTGTTTTCAGAAATTGTTCAAGTGGTCTTTCGATCAATTTCAATAGGCAGACAAAATTATGCAGACAAATTCTTTCAAAGTCAAATTTTCCTCTTTCCGACTCGAAGCAGTTGCGTCACGGTGTCACATTTACCCATCAAAGTCAGCTTTTCCAGTGATTGGATTATTACATATTTTTGATTGAAATTTTAGTAACAATAGCGCTTAATTGCTGTGGTTACTTTCGATACCTGTTCGTTTTATATTTGATGTATTTTTCCTTTGATTTCGTATTTGATTTCGTTTTATATTAATGTATATATCAGCCCCATTAGTGGCAGAATCACTGAATATTTTGTTTATCTCTGCAAAGAGGCTGGCCACATGAGAATTTTAGGGGATCTCCTCAGACATGACGGGAATAGTGGCAAGTTCCATTACAAATTCTCTGGAAGATATTCTCCCTCTTAGACAGATGGCCCTCGCGTGTTTTGCGGTATTTCCTACTACCTCAGTCCGACAGAATTCATCAAATAGTTCGTAACTGCATATTACAAAATATGTTCCTTAAGTTTTGGGAATGGTTATTTGCATGATTTATTGGAAGGAATGACAGTGCATGTATGCAGGAATATAGTTGTTAAATTATTGTAATTGTTCTTCAAAATAATTTCCTTTCATGGTGTCTGAGAAGGCATGCAGAGGTATCGCATACTTTGGGCGAAGGTTCACATTCGCCCAGAGTTATGGGATTCCCATTGCTCTGAATATCTTCATGTCCGAAAAGCGGTTACATTGCTTTGGATATGGTAATGCCCAAACATTTGGCGCAGCATGTGGTGACATTCCTTTATACAGAATACAGTAATTCACGTTCGTTTAATACAGAAATTCACGTTCGTACATTGCTCCATTTACCTGTAACAGCACTGCACTACATCTTACATTGATTGACAGACCTCGGATTTGATTGACCGGACAGTTAATTAGTAGCAACAACTACATCGCCTGCCAGTAACTCATTTTCCGTATTTATTGATCTCACGTTATGTAAATGTTAGGCTATAGCACTGAGGATCATTTTAGTATAAAGAACAGTTTATTTGTAAATGTTCCTAAAATGCGAAATATCCGATTAAGAAAAAGGAACTGGATAAAACTATTTACGTTCTATTAGTAGAGAAGAATTTAGACTTAAGATATTGTTACAAATTTTGTATGATGTAACATGAAAGGCATGAAGGAAGAGAAGCTTTGCTGAAAAAGCCTATTTAAAACTGAGATAAATGGCTATCTCGCTAAACTGCCGAGATATCCCCAAGTTGGTTACGGTTCCCGCGACTAATTTTTGTTGCAAATTAGGCGAAAAATCGCCACTTTGTAACTCGGACCGCCTTCTACTAATGTTTCAGAAGTATTTGTAGAAATTGGAACTCCGCCCGGGGAAAAGCAAATAAGACCGAAGACAGAATCAGTTTTTATTTCAGAGCTGACTTCAGTGTGCTGAGATCTCCATGTAGCTTCGCCTTTTAGATGAGTTTTGCATTGCGTTGTGTTTAACATTCTTGGTAGACTGAAGTGTAATTACAGATTGCGCTCTGTGATTCGTAGGAGAGGTGTGCGAATGCTTTCGTGGGAAGCTGCAGAACTGTAAAGTGTTTCTTTTGGGATAATAAATTTTATCAAGCCATTATCGGTTTTATGTTCATTCAGTCCATTACGAAACCGTAACGAAAACGTAACGTTTAAAATTTTCCTAAAATGTTTCTTTGACAAAATGTTAAATTCAAATCGCTCGCACATTCTCTAATTTGTTACTACATTTTATGCTATATAAAACGGACACAAAACGTAATAGGTCTTAAGTGCAGAAGTAAACCCTTCTTTTACAAGCCCTTAAAAGTATCGTATTTTCTTTCATATTTCTTCCTTTGTTTACTGATTTTGCAATCTGAAAATAGAAAGGGAAAATTTATGTGAATAATTAATTTTCGGACAAACGCGGCTACTGTAAGAACACAAAAAAATTAAAAGTAGTCATAGATAAACTACTGTTAACTATCACAGTATTATTGTAGAGTCATTAGGTTAATTGGAAGCAGAAAAGATGAAAAATATGCAACCGCCTTCGCCGGGAATCGAACCACGGACCTCTGGAATACCGGCCCAGCGTGCTACCATTACATCCCGAAGGCACGCTAGGGAAGTGGGAGAAATACTTTATATACTCTCCTTTCTAAAGGACGACTAGGGTTTTAGGGGACCTAGTCGCCAAATCCTGGGTGCGGAGAATCATCATCCACAAACCTTTTAGTTCGGGTGCCACTTGTAGAGTCATTAGGTTTATTGGAAGCAGAAAAGATGAAAAATATGCAACTGCCTTCGCCGGGAATCGAACCACGGACCTCTGGAATACCGGCCCAGCGTGCTACCGTTACACCACGAAGGCACGCTAGGGAAGTTGGAGAAATACCTTATATTATGTCTTAAAAAAGGCCTACATTCCAGTAAGAACACATAGTAATGTTAACAGTAAAACATCTCAAATAAAGTAGTTTCATTTCTGTCTCTCTGTAGCTTGAACCTCGCACATTCTTATTTTTGCCCACTGCTATACCCTATCTCTTAACTCCTTCAGTGTTGTTGGAACTACTGTCTACGTTGTCTGCTACAGCTTGAAAGTCGTCATCATCGTTTTCGCCTGTTTTCTCACTTGCGATGATTTCAGAACCAGCGAGAGCAATAGATATGCCTGCTCTCTTGAAGCTCTTCATTATTATTGCTTTATCAAAGAAAGCCCATGCACCGAACATCTGCCGCATCTGGTTAGCTTAACGAAGAATCTGCAGAAAATACGTTTTAAATAATAAATGCAAGGGAAATTAAAATAGAGGTAATGCTAATACAAAAATGCAAATACAGATAAAAACGAAAAAAAAAAAAAAAAAAAAAAAAAAAAAACAATTGAAGCGTTTCAGATTTTAAATTACGTTTAAAGGGGCATTTTTTTAAAGTTTTGTGTGTTATATTTATTTATTAAGTATCATGTTCTTTGACTTAAACCATAAAATTCAGTTTAATAGCAATGTCGCAAAATAATTTTAAAATGAGCATATTTTTAGAATTTCCGATACACAGTTCCGCGCGCTGGACATAAAAAGGTTCCCCTCCCCGTAGAGTGTTGCCATTGCTCGCTTTGAAATCTTTGAGTTTGTTAATCAAAAATTTGTTAAATTTTACAAAATATGAAATCGATAATAAAACAAATTCCAAATTTCAAATTTGGTCTTCCATATGCCCATATTCGTAGGAGGATTACGTTATTCAAAATTCGATGGCTCTATGTAAGGTTGTTTTATCACAATGCGAGATATATACATACATTTATGCAGATTTTTCATTATTTAATTTCTTCAAATATAATGCAGGACTCTAAAATTTGGTGGCAACAGTTTGAAAAGTGAAACGAACATTTATAGTGATTCAACGGTAAATCGCAAAACGAAAGCAATAGTTTTTCATGGACAAAGCCCTGTGGCCTAATAAATCTGAATAAAAAACGAAAATAATTAAAGGGATACAGTATACTAATAAACTATCCCTGAAAGAGTAAAATTACGTGCAATAGAAGGAGGGAGAAACAGTACGACTATTTTTAAAATTTTGAGAACCTAGCACTAAATAGCAAGGACAAGACGGTAATCAGGGGGAGGGGGAAGTAATATATGAAAAAAAAAAAAAAAAAACTCTGAATGCTTCCACATTTTTATATTAGTTTTTTTTTTTCATTTACACATATGTACCCGTTTCGAGAAAACTATTTAAAAACAGCATATACACAATAATTCTGCAGATAAACATATACGAAATGTCCAGTCACGGTAAGATAGCTTCCTCGCAAAGCAGGCTTAAGGTTGCCATAAAAAGGCAAGGGAAGCAGGATTGCCACATTTGGCGACAAAATTGGCGATATGCCATGGATGGTTGGAGAAACTTCTGGGACAAATTCTTACTGGTTTGTTACCAGAACATTCTCGAACACAAGCCAAAAGCTATATAAACCCTACTGGTACGCGGAGAGTCAGTTAGTGAGCGTCCGTCGAGTTGATAGAAAGTCAGTGAGTGCCGAGTTGGTCGTCGAGTGCACCGAAAGAGTCTCTTAGTGTATCGTGGTTAGTGCATCTTCGAGAGAGTGTGTTGAGCTCCGGGAACGACTGAATCGAGGAGTCGGGAGGTGGAGTCTAGTGTATCGTCGAGTGCATAGCGAATTGTAACGTGGAGAGTCTCGAGAATACGTGGAGTTCCGAAAACGACCGAGCAGAGTCGGGAGTTGTACTCGGGTGCTTTGCCGTGAAGCTTTCTGCACCGTTATAGCCTGATTGCCTGAAGACTGTGTTGCTGATTGTTGCAGCGTGTATATAGTAGTTCTTCGACGACTGTAAAAACGTGTTTTGTAGCTGATTAATATTGGCTAAATAAAATGTGTTTTGATACTTTATCAAGTGTCGTCGTTATTCACTCCAAATCTACGAACGCCGTATGAACGTGAAGGAAGAAAAATAACGCAACAATATTTAGTTTCGTGCAGTGTGTTGCCACTGCTCGTTTTGAAATCGTTGTGTTTCTTAATCAAAAATCGCTTTAAGTTTAAAAATATGTATTAAACTATAAAAAATACAAGATTATGGTTTCCAGCTGCCCGTATTTTTGTGAAGGACTTTTGCTTTTCAAAATTTTATGGCTCTAGATATCGTTGTTTTTTCATAATGCGAGAAACTTACATACATTCATGCAGATTCTTCATTTATTCTTCGTTCTTCAGATTTGATTCCTTTAAATATCATACAGGGTGATAATATTTGGTGGGGACAATTAAAAAAATGATTTGACATTTAAAGTGAAACCACGAAATGCCGTTTTGAGACTAATACTTCTTCTGGGCTAACGCCTTTTTGAGCTATTATAAATTAAGATTATTATAAAAATTCATAAAATGTTATTTAAAAATAGGTATATTTTTCTATCGCTTAAATCATCAGTGATTATTTTGTTTCATTTCCCTGAATTTTTAGATACAATATTTTTAATTTTTATATTTATTTTATTATTATTAATTCCTTATTTTTTAATATGTGTATTCCATCAAGATTCTGCATATTATATGACATTTAGAAACTATTTCTTGAGAAAAATAATCTTAACCACTATTTGAGTAAATTTTAAAGAATCTCTTTATAAGTTTCATCAGTAGTACAAGAAAATCATTTTGAATTTTATTTTTATTCACGGCAATTTACGAAATTTACGATCAATTTGACTAAAATATAGCGCATGGTATAAAGAAAGGTTTAAATAAATCTCTGAAAATTATGTCAAATGATGTAACCCTGTATTGTAAATTGCTCTTGAAGAATGTTTACCAGTTGAAGTGTTCTAACTTACTTTTATTTCAAATCCCCTAATTAATATTAGACATTTAATATGCAAATACTTTATAAATCAAAAAATCTAATAAATCTACTTATCAGATGGATGCATTCTTTCTCTCTTTTTAGGTATAAATATTGTTATCTTCTTTTTAGGTTGTAGTTAAAACTGGTGATGGATTTCTGGATTACGATTGGTTCAGTGGCGCAGAGTTCAATTTTGCTGAAAATCTCATGCGGATAAGAGATAACAGAATTGCATTGATATGTGTCGGTAATTTGACTAATAATCTGTATTATATGATTAATGTAATAAGATATAGTTTCAATGAAAGTTGTATTATAAAGGATGAATTGACTCTTTCACAATGAAAATCAGCCTACAAATCTTCCATTACTAATTATTTTTAAACTTTCATTTTTTCACTTTCTTCTATGATAAGTTGTTCTGAAACATTTCTTAGAAACTGAAATAGATTATTTTCGGAACCTTTTGATTTATTCAAAATAATTCAAGGATAATAAAACAGTCCCTCAATGCTTTTTAAATTTTGCATAACTGTTTTTATCAATTTGTTTCTTTTGTTACATCTGTAGATTATATTAATGACTGTCAACAGTTTTTGAATAATAATATGAATCTGTAGAAAATTTATGCGATCCACAAAATCCACTTTCTGAAATTCCCATGCCTGCCTTATCATAACAAACAGTTTCGTTTAACAATAAAAGAAAAAGATTGTTGTCCAAAGGCGCGTGAGAGAGACATGTGTTTGAAATTTTAGCCTTTTTTGAAGTTGGATGATACTACTTGAATGAACTCAAAATATTCCAAACAATTTAGTGTCATTTAAAATCTTTAGGAGGATCGCTTGCAAACAATATATGTTATCTTATCGTTTGTTAGTGATCTAACAATATATCTATGATAAGAATTCTCGTGGCCGGTTTAAGGTGTAATTCATATTCCTCTACGTTATTGCACAATAAGTTCATCAGCATGATTTCCGATAGTTATTAAGCTGATAATAGAATATTATCAGCTTAATAATATCTCTGAATTAAAATACAAAAATTAGTAACTTAAAGGAAATGTGTTATTAGAATAATGAAAATCTGCTTCTGTTTTCTTTATATTAGAGAATGAAATTCAGAATTATCGAAGAACAGTTTAACATATACGCAAATTACTTTAAAGAAATTTATATTACGCAACATAAAACAGTATTTGTATTATGAAATATAAGAGTAGTATTGTTTAAATTAATGCTGGCAACAGATGCAGATTACAATAAATCAAAATGAATTATTGAACAATAACATTCAGTTTATTTGGACAACATTTAGTGTATTTGAATTTTTATGAACTTTAGAAGCCGATAAAGACATACATCAAAGTGTAAAATCAAATTCTGCGAAATATAGCTACCCAGTTGTCCCCTAAAGTACACAATGAACGAACAGAAAATATTTACTAAAAACAATGTTCAAACAATGTTCAAACAGCCAACCTATCTCCCAATACAACATTAAAAATGTTTTTCCAATAGTGCGAGGAAGATCCATTTGGCAAATTCTTATTCTTCGTCGAAGTACCGAATATTACAACTGCAATGCGTATAAAAAAAATGTCTTCTGTGGGAGGAAGAAGGGAGCACAAGTTCCAGTTCTCACCGACGTTTTCACGAACATTTGACATCACTAGCCATGTCTATATTCTTCACTCCACTAAAAACCCAGATACAAAATTTAGCGCCATTTTGTTCATGTTATACTGTTAGATAAATTTTTCTACCATTTTGCTGCAATGATAAATATCTGAATTTGCCAATAAACGAAGAAGACGTTATAAGTTTTTTTTTTTAACAAAAGGAATTTTACCGCTGCAGCGTTTCTATCTAAACGGTCACTCCATGCGACTACAAATAGGTATGGTGTTGGTGTGTATTTAATTATGGCAAAGCACACGAGGGCTATCTGCCTAAGGGGAGGGATGCCTTTCGTGGAGAACTTTCTAAGGGAAACTGGCTCGTATACACGTTACACATGGGGAAAACCACGAAAACGCCCATACAGCCAGCCCGTTCGCGGGATTCGAACCTCGGACCGAACTACCAGTGTTCAGCGACTTTACCGCTCGGCCGCTGGTGGGCACAAATAGGTATGAAATACCACTACAGATGTCGTTGCTTATCGTCGTACTATCATTCACCCGTATGATGAACTGGTTCTAGGCGTTTAGGACTCTATTTAGTGTGTCACTATGCTTCATTTACTGTTGGGGCGAAGAAATTACTTCTTTGCGGGGGTGTCAACGTCAGATGAATTTTAATCCAGAAGCAGCTGTAAATCGAAGCAATAACATACGAGAAATTTCTTTCCAACAGAAATGATCTACAAATAGCAGGGGGGAGGGGAACAATGGAGGCTGAAATCGATGAAATTGTTTTCAAAACGAAAATGTTATTGCGGCCTATTACTTCTCGAGCTGTGGATGTTTTGTGGCATTTGCCTAAAACCCAAAGAATTATTTCTGGCAGTGCCTGATTAGAAAGTTATTACACTTTTTAAAGAAGTTGTTGAACACATCTAGGATGGCTAAATATATTTTGAGATAGGTGGTATAGATCATCGGATAACTTCGCAGATTCCGAAACTGGGGCAAATTTCAATGTTATCCAGCATTTTTCCCTTTAAGTAAAGTATATTAAACACCGTTATAGTTCAAAATTTGATTATTTTGATTTTAGTGAGCTCATGATATCGGATAATAATAGCCAATGTTCGTGTTCGCAGAAACTCGGACTCGCAATCGCTAACCTATAGTCCTTCCTCTAACCAATAAGAACCATCAAGTCATTCGACGACTTAAGGGGACTCGGTACCTTTTGAATGATTTTTTTTATTTAAGCACTTTCATCTACTTTTTATGAATAACATTAAGTTGTTTTATGAGACAAAATGGTTTTAAGCTGAAAAAAAAATTTTGCTATTAATTTTTGTTTAATTTGAATTTTTTAAAAAAAAAAATTCAACAATTAAAAATTCTTTCTTTTTCCCCAATTTTCAATATTTTTGCTTCAAATTGTTTTATTGTATTCATAATAGTGTTCTTAATAACTTTACGGATCGATTTTTCAATTAATAAATTAGTTTCTGAGAAAAAAATAAAAAGCACATTTTTATATAAAAATTTAAAAAAAAAATATGATTTCAGTAACATTTTTACTTCCAATAATTTTTCTTTTCACTATTTTTCAAATCCCATCCATGATTCTATTTAATATATAATTTTAAATAAGCAGTAAATTTATTATGTGTGTATGTGTGTGTGTGTGTGTGTGTGAATATGGCACAGCCTCGAGGGCTATCTGCCTAAGAGGAGGGATGCCTTCGTGGAGGACTTTCTAAGGGAAACTGGCTCGTATACACGTTACACATGGGGAAAACCACGAAAACGCCCATGCAGCCAGCCCGTTCGCGGGATTCGAACCTCGGACCGAACTACCAGGGTTCAGCGACTTTACCGCTCGGCCGCTGGTGGGCCGTAAATTTATAAATTTATTAAATAATTTGGCCCATATCTGAACAAGTTTTAGGACTTTAGGTAAAAGGATATATTAAAAAATTGCAAACTGAGAAATCGCAGTTTAAAGAATGTAAACTGTCTAGACGGTCATTAAATCATTTCCAATTTCTTAAAAAATTTTATTACTGAATTTCAATACATATATATATTTATAATAAAACTTAGTACTGCTCAATTGATTAATATGAATATAAATTACAAGTTTTTGTTTAAAACCTTATCTGGCTAGAAATATTGCAAAAATATCATAAAATGCAAGTAGAATTTTCCTTTACCTGTTTTTGTTTTTTAAAACATGCGCTCAAAAAATTTTAATGCATGAATTAATTATAATACATTTTCTAAAACGCTTATAATCATTATTAATAATATTAATTTTTCGTTTTATTCATTTTTTAAAAAGCAAAATTTGAAATTTTAACGGACATAAAACATTTTATTTAAAACCACTCAGCAGCTTATGTGATTACTTCTCTTATTTTAGCCATTTGTTCTCGTATATAAATTCCATTTTAAATTAATTTATGTGCATTTTAATTAATTAAAAAGTTTAATGTTTGTTCCAGCACTATTTCAATAATGCTACGGTCAGAAATTTGATCACTTTCATTACACCACCTCTTTCTGTTCGTATCTAATCACAGATAATTTCAACTTTTGAATGAACATAGCATTTTTGTTGACTGATAATACATATAAAACTATTTGCTGAGCTCAGTATAAATATATAAACTTGCCAGTTTAAAGGTAAAAAACATTTTTTTCAACTTTAATTTGTATTTAAATAAATCAGTATCTACGCATAAATAGAGTTTTTTGATAGTTGGAGTCATATTTAATTACACTCCTCTTCATTTACACTGATTTTTAGTAAGCTACTGAAAAAATTAAGAAGTAAAAAAAGAATAAACACTGAGGGGGTGTGGCATTTAAAGGGGTGTCAAAATTTTAAAAACTTTTTTTATAGCATTTATTATCGTCAGATCATTTCAAAATCCCTTTTCAGTGTAGTAAGTGTATTAAGGTACTTTTCCAGCAAAAAATTTAAAAATCGGTAATTTCATTGACTTTTGGGGTACCGAGTCCCCTTAATAGTTAAAAATTTCCCTAATATACGGGAAAATTACAGCCTGCATAGATGGGTGTGCAAAAGAACCATTCATCGCCAAAAAATGACTGCAATTAAATGAAACAGCTAATCTGGGTAACCTCTCTTGGCAACTCTGGCACCTTTTCATTCATGGGTTACAAAACTATTTCTCGCGTGAGAGTAACTGCTCTCCATGGCTTTGTGTTAATAATTAATGGAAATAAGCCGTGGCTTCGGTTAATAGTAAATGTTGTACCTATTATTATTTATATGATCGGGGCTTGACTGTAGTTCGGTTTGCAGAATGTAAAGGGAGACGTTATAGTTTAAAAGAAAGCAAAGCAAGTCTTAATTGTACACTAGGAGTCAAAAACTCTAGTTCATTTAGCAATACTAGCAATAAAATGTATGTATTCAGTATAGAAAGCAGCAGAATAAAAGGTCATATTCTTAGAAAAAAATATATAGTGGTTTCATTTTCAAGCTTTTTCTTTTATTTTACGAATTTCTTAAATTCTCAAAATTTTCGCTTAAAAATAGAAAAAGAGTTATTCACTATTGTTACTCTCATTCAGATAACATAAATTATCAAATAATAAGTTCCGCCTTTTAAAATTTTTCTATTACCACTTTTATCTTAATTTTCTATCCTTAATTTTCTTAGATGAGATTGGTTCTGAAGAAACTATAACTTATGCTCAAATGTTCGAAGAGGCTAAGCTATACACTGCAGCTTTCAGAAAACTTGGCTTGCAGAAAGGAGACACACTTGCTTGTAAGTAAGATGATAAATTTAGAGCTATATTTAACGAAATATTTAGAGTGGATTATCAGTCATATTGTCGATCATTTTGAACTGCGATTTTGAAAATAAATTTATAAAAGAACTGCAATCGTTTTGGATTTAGACAAATAATTACTTAATGATATTTAAAAGGGACAGTTATAACTAAAATCATAATGTAAGTACGGATTACAAATGTGATTATGCTAGTTTTGATATCGCAATTAGTGCGTTCTCTGTAAATTTAAGGAATATGATCAGGCATATAAGTTACAGGAAATATTCTTCCTCCAGAAACCATCGTTATTTTACAATTAAGTTTTACTGTTTTTGAATTTAGTATTGTCCTTTGTTTGTGTTGCCAGCCTGGTCAGTTTCTCTGCAAAAGCGGTTGTAGTTATGAGTGATACATCGAGAAAGCGCAGTTTTCAAAGAACTCTTACACTCCAGACATCTAAAATAGAACACTATAAAGGAAACAACCAACAATCATGAAATTTGCTCTCTATATATAAACTTCGATAAGACATGCAAATGTTTAGAATCGTCGGGCATATGCAAATAGTTTGCCGCAGTAATATCATTTGAAACTTTGAAAAAAGGAGAAAAATAGGCTATTTTAGGCACTGGAATTAATGTTTCACCGCAGTTCCTTTACATGATGAGTTTCAGAATGACTTTTCGGAAATAAAGGGCAGTTTTGCGAGTAGGTTTCTGGGTTTAACAAAGTAATAACGTATTAGCTTATAGAGGCTAAGAGAGAATTCAATTCTTGTGCTGGATCAGAGTATAGTGATGTAAATATGAACGGTTGGGTGCAAGAGGGAAGGCCTGAATATGAACAGTTGGGTGCAAGAGGGAAGGCCTGATAGACAGAAACAATTGCATCATCTTCCTCACATCATCACCTGAGAGTGCAAGCACATTATGGGTATGGCAATGATAAATGGCACAGTAACATGAAGAACCTATATTAAAGATTAGACACATAGTTCTAATAATACAGCATATGCCAATCAATATTGTCTGCAGATCAGAGAAAGGTTTTGCAAGGTGTTCATTGCTATATTACCTAATATATATATTAGGTGTTCATGCTATATATATATATATACATTGCATATATATATATATATATGCAACATATGCAGTTGCAGTGCTGGTTTAAAATGTGAAAAATGGACGAACGAACGGCAAGGCAGTTTCTTTTCAGACAAACCTTGCATCTATCGATAGTTGCAATATCATAACTGCATGTCCATGTTTAGTGTCATGAATACAGCCATCATGACCCTTTCATCTCATTTAACTATACCAGATTTTCATATGGAGTTAAGGTAATCGGAACCACTAGATTTTCTCCCGACACCATCCCAACAAACAACACCAACAAACTTAGAGATATAAGATTCTCTGAAATTTTAGAGCCTCTTGCCTTCCCTTCATTTTAAGGTTTACTTGAGGTCAAGTTTCATCAGAACACTGTGCGACTGCATGTGGCATACAACGGTTTCACCAGGTACCCAACTTACACCATTCGCGGATATACAAACTAAACTCTGGTAATGTGTAGAAATAGCACGGACTAGCATATCCCTATACGCACATTCAAATACTTTTCCCTTTAATGGTTAGTTGTTTCGCAGCAGTTACAGACAGCCATGGCGGTCATAAAATATACTGATTGCTTTCTGCTCTTCAAGTCCTACGAATCTGTAATTTTAATCAGTTTACCTTTCGCGTTACATCATTGTTCAGTATATATGTTCTAATATTTGTTATTCTTAATAGAGTTATATTTTGGTTGGCCAGTGGTGTAGAATATTGTTTTTGCGATTGATTGGAATTGAATAATGTGACTGTGTACTCAACAAACATGAATTTCGGATTAATAATTCCAATAGAGCTGCAATTTAAATTCATCGTCTCTTTAGAGGAGGAGGAAGATGATTGAAGTTTTTCTTCAGAACTGATTTAATATTTTCGAAATTAGAGGCAGACATATTTCCGGAAGAATTGGAATATGTTGCATAGAAATGATATTTCAACTTGCCAGACACGTAGTTCTAATAATACTGTTTTGGAAATGGATCAGTAAGCAATAATTGCTGACAAGGACCTTCATACTGAGGAATGAAGATGATAAAAAAGTAACGGGTGCCTAAAACTGACACATTAAGCATTATGAGCGTATAATGAGATTTTTAACAACAGCATCGGACATTATGAAAGAGTGTTTCAAAATTACTAATAATATAAAGAGCAAGATGCTTCATTTTTAAAATCCAAAGAAAAACAATTATGCATAACTTATTTGAATTGGTTCAAATTTCTCCGATGCGTTGTGGATAAATAAAAATACATTATTAAACTGATTGTTGATTGTCACTATTTGTTTAATCTTTCATGATATTAAATTTATTAAATTTTATGTTGATAATTCAAATTTTTTAACTGAATATCACTATTTATTTTTAAAGCATTTGCTTTTATTTTTGCATTACTGAGTTACTTTATTAATTTTCGATTTATGTTTCCATAAGCCTAACACTTGCTTATTAAACATTCATCGGTAATGCTAGAACCCATATATCATTCAACAGTCTCATAAACAAGAGCTTACACCATGTGTGGTAAATAAAATTACGTCTCTGACAAAGGGTTACAGGTCTAGTTTCACTAAGCATTATAGTGAATCTTCGTTAGTGGAATATCTGAAAAACTTGTATTTACGTTGGCCTAAATATTTATTTCAGTCTTGCAAGCACTAATACCTAATATCTTCATGTTGCTACATTTCGCATGCAATAGTATTTACTATCACAAAAATTAATTACTTTTAATTTTTTGATTTTTTTCAAAGATAACGTTAACATCCAAAAGTTTGTAACAGTAATGTTGTAAAGTCATCTTTGTTCTGTTATTTTCAAATAAGCCAAGTTTTCAACTTCTTATTAATTCTTGATTGGTTCTGTATAACTTTTAATTCAAATGAATTCTCGATTGAGAATATTCAGTCAATATATTATCCTTACGATTTCCTATGAAACACTATTTCCTTCAACTAAACAGTCGATGGAAAATGAAGCATTATTTTCGTATCATAAAATTATTAATTCTAACAAAGCATTCCTAAACTATGTGAAATGAACAAAAGGAAAATTACGTCGATAATATAAATTACTATTAGTTTATTTATTTGTGAATTATTTTAACAGTACATAAAATTTGGAAAGTTTCTAAACTGTCAGAATTTTCTGATAAATCAACTATATCAATAACAAGTGAATAGGTAAAAATTCCTTGAGCAGAAAACCACCATGATCTGAAGAAAAAAAATATAATTAACGAACCTGTGAAACACATCAAATACTTATAATACTTATCAATACTGAAGAATACTTATATCTTTGAATCTAGAACATGTAACGGCATAGAATGTATATAAGTAATTTAAGAGTATCTTACAAACATTTTAATAATTATAAATGTTTATTTCGCATAATGTATTATTCCTTCTGACAACAGTTTTTATATTGGATTTCTTCTTAGAATCTAATCTTTTACCAAATAGAAGCACAGTTTCAAATGGATAAAATCACTACTGAAGAAACTATACTCAAATATTTGATATTCAAGCTTGAACCGAAGTACGTTGAAAATATATGGGACATTAATAAAGACACTAAGCCCAATAAATATTTTATTCAGAAAGACTTAAATACTTTTAAATTTAATTAAAATTCCATAATTTAATTACAAAACTTTTAAAAATAAATTACAATTTTAAATTAAACTTTTATAATAAAATTATGAAAACTTAATAAAGGATTTTAATACATAAAAACTTCATAAAGGGCCGTGAATTAAAATAGTTTAACGAAATAATATCGAGAAAATAAAAATTTCACTTTTTTAAATGTTAATCTATTAAAGAAACGAAACTAAAAAAATATCCAAAATTTTTACAGGTTACATGTCTAACAGAAAAGAAGCGATTTTTGCCATGCTGGCAGCAACGAGCATTGGAGCTATCTGGGGTGGACCCCAGCCTTACTTTGGAGGACGAGTGAGTAATGTGCTAATCTAATAGTGAATTACCACAAATCTAATAGTGAAATACAAGGACATGTTTTAGGAGCTTGTTTTCCTTTAAATACTTTTCTGTTTGTTAACCTCTCAGGAATTCAAGCTCGCAAACATTTCGTAATTAGAAAACTTTAAAAAATCATTTTATTTTGATGAATTTTTTCAAGCAGACAGAGACAAAATACAAGAACGCGTTCTCTATATTCAACATAAATTAAATATCTCCTGATTTTTAGCTATATATATTATATTTTTTCTTCATCTTCCTCTTTCTTTGTTTTATTTCTAAGATTAATCACTCAGAATTTTTAGTTTAAAAAGTAGTACTGTTTCGCGTTAATTGCACATAAATTTGTACATTTACTTTTGGTGTATTTTTTGTGTGTGTTTCCAAAATGGGAGTATTATAATTATTCATTGCATGCGAATTAACTCTGTTAGATGAAAGATGTAAAATCAACTTTAATAACTTCAGGTGCCAGAATATGAGATCTGGTACGCGAATTTCAGAGTAGGAACACTTTTCGTGTACATCTTATGACATAACCTTGAATTTTTTATTATGTATACACAACGTGTATAATAGTCCCTATGCAACCTCTATTTTTCCTAACTGTCGGTAGTGGAATTCCAACTGCAAAAATGCTTTAAATGTTGCAAGAAATCATATTCTGGCATTTTAAATATGAAGTCAAACATTTTATCTTTTAATCTTTGAGTAAATGTAATTACTCTAAATATAACTAGAATCAGATAGCCATATGTATGTTTAGTAATATTTAGAAAACTGATTTTTTTTTTAAATTTAAAAATGTCATACCATCTAGCTTCGTTGTTTAATTTCAGTTTCTCTCTAATCAATGTGGCTGCTATTAATAATAGAGAAAGTAGACGCAGTATAAGGCCAATTAAATTCCGAGTTCCTTTAAAATGATAAGAATCCAAGAATTTTGATTGTTTAATGCAATCACGGTGCAAACAAGAAAGTGAATATATTCCCAGCGGAGGAATTCTCAAGCAGATCCGATAATGCAAGTGTTATTCATTTATGCAAGTGCGAAAGATTATTTCTTTATTTTATGTATGCTTTTATGGAAGTGATCTTTAAGATACGGAACAGAATCGCGACTGAAATCAGATTAGGGAAATTCATTACTAATTAGCGCATAAAGTGCAATGCAAATGGGCATAAAGCCTTTCAGTTTTGAATTATTATTAGAAATTTCAAAAGAAGATTATAAGTTGGCAATATTTAAAATAATCTAATTATTCAATCAAATGTAGTTTGTAATAGTAGAAAATATATGTATAGTATTAATGAAATTATATGCTCGGCAGGGAATAACTATAATATACAATGTTTAGTGAATGTACAGAATATCCCCAAAACTTCTTACACTTCCTTTATTTTCATTGCTCGTAGACATATATTTCCAGTACACAGAAAGTTTTAATTGGTGCAAAAATTCATGTTTTTGTATTTTTAAATAAAAAACATGAATATAAAATACGAAATCTAATGTTTCTCACTTTCCTCTGGTTCCTGTTTAGGAAAATTTTATACTCTTTGCAGAAAGTCACGCACAAAATATGTAAAGTTTAGAAATCTTCTTGGCAATCATAAAGTAAACTTTACATAGAGTGGTAGACTGACAGCGAATTATTGCGAAGTCTAAGATAACAACTGAATCTTGCAAAGCGGGTGAAAGACACTTTTGCTTAAAGCTAAGAAGAACAGAAGACACACCTGATGCTTACAAATTAGCCAATCACATCTGACAATGCACCTTAGAGTAACAGTCAAACAAATGTAAAATTTAAATTAAATAGCCGAAGTGTACATATTTCAGTCTAACACGAAGTTGCCTCAACTTAACAGGCTTGGAGATTCAATATGGTGACTGTAATGCAAGGGCGAGGACTCCAAATCTTATCTTATCCAGCAAATTAGGAACTTGGCCTCGAGACGCAGGACACACTTTGTCTTGCAGTCTTAAACCTCACCTTAAACACACGGGAACAACTTTGCTTTCCGGCGAGAAAACGGAAGACAGAAGTGACAGTAAAGATCCAAGACATAAAACAACTGGTTCATTAACATAAAGTAACCTTACAAACATTTGAATCCCGTACGGCAACTTTAAAATGATTCATCAAGTAAAACTGTAAAATAATTTTCGTCCTGTATTTATACATAGCAGCATTATTGTAAACTGAATAGCTGCACTAGGAAATAAAAATCACTGAATATTACGCTTTTTTTTAATATAACGCTTTTTTTTAAGGGGAAGTGTGCAAACAGTACTGATCTTTTTATAAGGAATCTACGTCTAATACATTCATACAAACACATTACCAGTCCCTGATATGACATAAAACTGTAAATAAAAGAAACAAGAATGAATTTGCGTAATTTGCATCAGTGAAATAGAGCTTTCATTTTTCAGTTGTTTTAGAGATTTATTTATAACTTAATTTTAAAACACTCTATTTTAACTTATTTGATTATATCTATCAGTAATTACATGCTAATTTAACTACTGCTAGTTTAATTTGTAATCTCACATTTATTTAAAAATATTTAGAGTCAGATAATTATCAATTACATCCCGATTAAATGGTGCAAGAAGTTTTTAATTAAAGTTTCATACGAAAGTAAAAGAAATATAGAGAGAAACGGAAAAAGAATGCAGTTTGTAACGTAAAATTTGAATGAAAAGTAAATGAGTAAATATAAGTTTTAGACATTATTGACTTGATTTTAAATTTTTTGTGTGCCTTTGTCTGCATTTTAGGTTGCATCAAATATCATTGCAAAAATGGAAGCAAAGTATCTAATCACAGTGGATCATCATCAAGATAATGGAAACATTTACAATATCATAGAAAACTTACCAGTTATAGTGGACAGTAAGTAACTCATGAACGTAAATATTGCTTCCAAAATGAATTATGTATCTGATAAAATTTGCAATGTGGAAGAGCTAATAAGGTGGTTACTAGAAAAACATTCGATTTCCTTCCATTCGGTTGTCGTAAATTTAATTTTCCACATTTAGGAGATTTTAGCACATTCAAGTTTCAATGCTATGAAGATTCAAGATGAGTATATTTAACACGGAAAGCACACATTAGAACCTATAAATCACCGAGTAGTTTTAAACTGCTGAATACCGGTAGTCCGACCTGTTTTCAGATGCTAAAGAAAGCAGGTCAGTTTCCCCTAAAGTATTCTGCATTAAAAACGAATGTTTATGTATTTACAGGATATTTGACAGTGGGAGTTACATGCTTTATTTCCTATAGATAGTTAATTTAAGTTAGATATGTCGCCGAATAATGTAAAGAAGTTATGAAAATGGTTTCAAGACTGAACGTGGAAGGAATATGTATATGTGACGGTACTTATGCATTATCGCAAACACTCTGGAAGCAGTTTGGCAAATTTTACGGAAGAAAAGGAACAATTACTTTTATAGTAAAACTTATACATTACATACATACATACATACATTTATACAGTACGCTATTTCATGTGACGTCATTGTATGTCGAAAATGTTTCGCTAATGGCAGTGTTTTAAATAAATAGCTACTGCTGACAACTTTTTTGTTTCAGATTAAGATAACTGTCTCGGTATGTTATTGCAACGTTAATTTTTTTATTGATATTGAGAAAATGTTGTTGTATAAGTTGACTAAATATTCTTTTCGCTGTGTCAATTTAAAACCTTATTTTTAAGAACTTTATTATCAGAAGTCACGTCTGAGAGCACTATTTAAGGCAATAAAATTTAGGCCTACCTTCACAAATATCCTTTGTATGCATTTGCAAGTATTATATTTAAATAATTATTGCAGGACAAGTGACAAAAGGAGTAATTATAATAATTTATGATTGAGAAACTTTTGAAATTTATTTCCGTGTAATCCGAAACAGATATGTGAACGTTTTGTTTATTTGATGGCATAGCAAACTAGAGCTATCTGCCTATGGGGAAGGATGCTTTTGTGAAGGACTGTCTAAGAGAAATTGGCTAGCATACACGTTACAAAATGGGCAGAACCACGAAAGCGTCCATGTAGCCAGCCCATTGTCCGGGATACGAACCCGTAACCGAACTACCTGTGTTCAACAACTTTACCGCTCGGTCACCGAAGGGCGGTATGTGAAAGTATTGCGCATAGTGGATATATTATGCGAACACATGTATGATTTTCTTTTCTTATCGTTGTTAAAAGTGCATTAGTTTACAAAAGCAAATTTTCGGCTTGATTTTGGAAGGCATAATTATTTCTCTTACACTTCAAACAATTAAAAACTTCCGTTTAATAACTTTTATTATGTGGTAAAAGTTAATTAGTTTTAATTAAAGTTTATTTAATTTCCAAAAACTTATTTTGGATATATTTGTTGGATTTAAAGGGTAATAAACACTTCTTAATTATCAGTTGTGCAAAAACCATTTTTAATTTTTTTAGATTGTCCAAGTTTAGAGAAGATAATCATTATTCCTTCCAAAGAAGAAACAGTAGCCAATGGTATTTCACATATCAGAAATAGGTAACCTTTTATTCGTCAGTTTATTTCAGACTATGTTAAAATTTATATTTTGTGCGCATAAAAGCTAAAAATTACCTACTAACCGCTTTATGATTTTCAACAACAAATTTACCGTACTATTTAATCTTCTCTTTTGGCAATTAAATCTTCTAAATCTTTTGCATTCAAAGAAAAAGATGAAACAATAATAAGATTCTTTGACAAATTTATATTAAATTATCTATTGAATGCAACAAAATTGAAATAATAGCCCAATATAACCTATATCACTTTTTGACATTTTTTTATTTAAAAGAGTAATGAATATTCATCTTTTTATTTTTTCCACAGTATTTTTCTGGATGAATTTTTGGAAAGTGGTCGAAATCCAGATGGTAGCGTTCCAGACATTCTATTCGAACAACTGCCCTTTGGCCATCCCGCCTTTTTAACATTTACTTCTGGTACCACTGGCGTTCCGAAAGGAGTAGTGCATTCAGCGGGAGTATGACTAAGTATATTTGGTATTCTACTATGTAATTTTCATACGGTGATACTGTGCTCTCAAACTGGTGGCCCCTGAAAAAATCTTAGATAGCCCATGCATACATTTTTCGTGCATTAATTAGTATTATTTTGAAAAGAATTTGAAGAAAAAGTTAAAGATTTTATCGAATCCAATTAGCATCCTCTTTGTTAAAGACGGTCCGTTTGCAACGCTCTGAAAATCTATAAATGGAGTTAATTAATTTTCACTGTGATATACATCTTATTCCACGATCTGAAGATACAAATTTGCTTTATTTTATTAGTACTTATCAAAAGATAAATATCCCCAGTTACGAATTTTTGCAGTAAGAATAATCGCTTTGTTTGGGAGTACTCATACACATAAACATTTCTTTTCCGTACCTGAAATTAATAATAAAATTATAAATTAATAATAAGTCTGTGAAAAGAAACAGGCTGCCGTTGGGTATCTAGAAATTGGTGTTGAACATACTTTCTAGTAATTTTCGTCTAAGGTTATAAACTTTAGGTAATAGTAACTGAAAGGTGTAATAAAAACAAAGAAGGCTATAATTATTAGCTCATAAAATGCTTACCGTTTTCGGTATGGTTACAGCCGAAAACATCGCGGACGAAAACGTCGCAGAGAAAACAAACGCAAGGAGAAAACGTCGTGCTACAAAACATCGTAGGAGAAAACATCGCAAAGAGAAAACATCGCAGTTCTAAAACATCGTGGTACAAAACATCGTCGTCGAAAATAAAGCGTTTCAAAAACTTCGCAGTTTGAAAACATCGTTGTCGAAAATTTCGTGGTAAAAATAAAGTATCTACAAATCATCGCGTGACGATAACATCGCAGACATGCTTTTTTTCAGGCTTTAATAACTGTAAGTAGATATTCCCATAATAATTTGTGAGCGCAAGATGTAAAGAAGGATAATTTTTACTTTCACATTTTTTTATTAACTAAATTTTTGCGGAAAAAGTAAGAAGGAAACTTAAGCATAGAAAATTAAATGCGACTTATAGATTATACTTTTTATGAAAAATTACAAGTAAAAACTTTATAAAAAATTATTTATTAATGGTCTTTGTTAGTTAACTATGCCGGTTTAAAATTCTATTAAGTGCTATAAGTTGCATTAATTTTCTATGCTTAAGTTTCCTTCTTATTTTCTCAGCAAAAAAATTAGTAGCTAATATAAAAATATGAAAAACAAATTATCCTTCTTTCTATCTTGCGCTCACAAATTATTATGGGAATATCTATTTACAGTTATTAAAGTCTGAAAAAAAGCATGTCTGCGATGTTATCGTCACGCGATGATTTGTAGATACTTTATTTTTTACCACGATATTTTCGACGACGATGTTTTTAAACTGCGAAGTTTTGGAACCGCTTTATTTTCGACGACGATGTTTTGTACCACGATGTTTTAGAACTGCGATGTTTTCTCTTTGCGATGTTTTCTCCCACGATGTTTTGTAGCACGACGTTTTCGCCTTGCGTTGTTTTCTCTGCGACGTTTTCGTCCGCGATGTTTTTGCCACGATGTTATCGGCGGACACCTTCGGTATACATCATAGAAAAATGTAATAACAGAAAGAGAATAATTTGTTTGTATTTATTTTCAAGTTTTGTCGCTCTTGGGAAATTTTCGTGTATTTCTTTCCAGTTTAAATTAAAATTAAGTTACTTAGTGATTAATTCAATTTATTACAATTATTTGAATAAATGTCAAATTTTTCTCGCATTACCAACCTGTGAATCTGGATGAGTTAGGCAGAAAATAAGTATAAATATTAATTTTTTCTTTGCATCATTTATATATATATATATGTTTCGACAAATATCTATTATTTTTTTTTTTAATTTAGCTAAAAATTCTGTTTTATTAACTCCTTTTTTAAGTTGCGGCTCGTCAAATAATTTCAGATCATACATTTGGCCCTTGAGCAATTTGAGTTTGAGACCACTGCGGTAATCTGTTGCAAATGCAAAAGTGGAATATTTGTGTATAATTTTAACCAATATTAGAACTATTCTTTTTATCTGATCACAAAAGGAAATATATATCGATCCAAACTGCGCCTTTTTAGTGGCTAATTTCCGAGTCAGGCGAAGGAGAAGAATTGTTCGATTACAGATTAGTAGATTTAACCTGCAAAGAAAAATCACTCATCAAAGAACAGCATAAATCTGGATGAGTAAAGGGCTAAAAATAATTTGCGTTCTATTGATTCGTGAATTGGATTAAATGATGATAACACTTGATGAAGAATCAAATCAAAATTTATTCGAACAATTACGACAAACACGTGAAAACAATCGTGATGTGGTAATCTGCACGCTGGGCCGGAATTCCAGAGGTCCGTTGTTCGATTCCCGGCGAAGGCGATTGCTCATTTTTTATCTTGCTTGCTTCCAAAAAATATATAATGTCTCTACAAGGTGACTTCTGAATTAAAGTCTGAATAGAATGTTAAGAGGCATAAATGTTGTGGAACACTTCGTGAAGAAAAGGAAAATCAAACTTTTGCCTCCAGTTCGGAAAAATAATTAAATACTAGTCTTTTATTCAAAAAAATTAATATAAATTTTGGTGCGAAATAACGAACATAAATAAAATTAGATTCCAAGGGAAAGGAAATAGGAACTGAAAGAAACAGTATGGAATATAAAGACCTAAACCTAATATGAATTAGAAGCCAAGAGAATAATATTAATAATATGAAATAATGTAAGGTTTAAAAAAGGATTAACACATTAAAAGAAGGATGAGAAATAAATAAGGAAAAATATAAGGCTTTTGAATAGTGATAGATCAGAAAAATTACTGTTCCCAAAATAAACATTCAAACAAAAGGCAAAGATTTTAGAGGAAAGAAATACTTAAATTTTGAAAGTAAGAAATGATTCATAAGAATAAAGTTTCTACTTTAATTCATTAATTACATGTAATGTCCAAAAATAATTATTTTAGATTCTTAAAAATTGTTATACCCAGAAATGGTTGTTATAATAAATATTATCATATTAAGCAAAGTTTTAATTTTTACATGTATACGAAAGAAAGCATTTTTCCAGAAGCATCTTCAGATGCAACACAAAGTTAAAAATTTTGCTTTAAGAAAATAATTTCATGAATTCTTATTTATCTCCTGCTTATTTATGTTTGGTACATTTTATCAGAAGTACCAAACGTATTATAAAGCAAAAAATTAGGAACAAGTTCTCTCTTTACTGATGTATCTACACACTTCCCTATGTCCACTGATAGATAAAGTTTCTTATCCTCATTGCCAGATAAGCCTCCTACGGCTGATCATGCTTCCTCGAGGGCTTCCTCTCATTTCCCAAGCTCCCGAGCCATAAACTATCATTTTCCCAACTCGCCAACTTGTGTTTCGTTGCATAGTACATTTGTTTAAAGTGGGATAGTTGATTTTAATTATAGTGACAACTGTGATTAAAATGTTTGGCAAAGTTATCAAGAATAATTTTGTTATTGAGAGTATGATTGTTACACGAATTTCGTGTTTAGAATTTCTTCTCGTCGAACTGATGTTGAAACTTCCGCCGCCATGAAAACTTTCTAGCCATTTAAAGCATTCTAAAAGGCTGCGATCTAAATTTATCAATTGTTTCTATTGAATTGTGTTAAATTTTGCAAAACACAGACACCAGTTATTTAAAATTTTATAGATGTTATCGTAACATCTTGGAATTTAAGAATTTTTTTCAGAAATGTATGCACGCAAGACATCGCGAGTACTAAATTGAAAATTTTGGTAATTATTAATTTATTGTTTGATCAAACTATTTAAGATGAAAAAGGCTTAAAAAGAATTCCAATCAGCTGTTGGAGTCGTTTTATTTTAGATCATAAATGAAGATCATTTGAGAACATTTTTAATTCCCGAATGAAGGAAATAAGAAGTTTAACGTCAAAGATGCAACAGCATATCCTTGCAAGCTACAATTCGGCTGACGTTCCTTCTAGAGATAGTTCTGCTGAAGTGTTTCTCAGATCTAGGGAAAATGCCTGCTGTCTGCTTTATTTTGATTACGTAGATGGATTGCATACTTTACTTGATTGCGTAGGTTGGACTGGCCATTCGGAGCGAGTTATTGAACTGTTTCAAAGGCAAGATAATTTTTCTTAACCAACTGCGGGTGAACGGACCTAGCGGGTGAAACAATTGTATCCTTTAGAAGAGACAGACGAGAGAGAGTTTATTTTATCTGAACAAGAAATAATTCAATAGTCATGCTAGTAAAGACATTAATTTTAAGATTCCTAACAGAATACTGAAACTAAATATCGTTGGACAATTGTTACAAGTTATGAGTATTATTTTACATAATTGTGTTAGGTAGATTGTTGTTTAGTGCCTTTGTTAAATACATTGGGTTTTAATTCATGTTCTACCGGAATAAATCAAAAGGTGGAAGAAGATGTCGCGAACAGCTCAACGGTTGTGTAAATGTATTTTTCTCCTGAAGTTACTCTTCATGTTTTGGCAACACAATATTTTTAGTTTATGTTTAGAATACTTAAAAGAAAGGCGCAAACCCTCTACAGTTTTTTACTGTCGTGGACTGTCTCTTTTATCTTTACTGCTCAGGTAGATTGCTTGCTTTTTTTTTTTTTTTTTTGATTAATTTTTTTTTCCAGTGTTTACTGGAAGAGCGACTGAATGAAATAAATTCATATGGAATCTCGCAACAAATTTGTTGCTAATTGTTATCTGTTCATCCCTGCTATACAAAGTGATATTTTACGTAAAAAGATTACAATTTCAAAAATATTACTTGTTTCTAAACCATTTTTATTTATTTTTCAGACATTACTACCGCATTTTGAAAACATCGGTTTCGATTACAACTTGAAGAGTGGTGACGCCCTTTTTCATTGGTGTCCGGTAATGTATTTCGCAATATTTATTTTAGTTACTTAACATTTAAATAATAACATTTAAAAAGTAAAAAAGGTTCATGCAACAATCAATAAATAAATTACGTTATAATACTGGCAATACTCAATTATTAAATATAAAAATCTTTATCATTTATTCTTTCAATCGGAACCACAATCTTAAATATGGATGAGTTCTTGCCAGACAAGATATTAAAAACTATGAATTAAACGTAATGTCAGAGCTGTAGCATTTACTAAGTGGAATATTGGAATTAAGGAATTTTGTAAATTTTACGGATTGTAATGCGAATTTGTCATACAAAACATAAAAATTTTTTACTCTCAAGATATGTATCATTGACACACGATACATCTCATAATGTTATGAGAAGTATGCATGAAAAGTACAAAGCTGACGAAAATTGCACAGTTGCAGGAATTATTAAGAAACAACGCTAAAAATAACATGTATAGTAAAAACAAGCTGAGTTTCATTGGAATGACGCAAAAAAGAATGGAGAAAATATGCGGATATTAAACATATCAGTTTGATGAATGCTATTCCTATCCTATAAAGGATGACTACAGTTCATAATCAGAAATATTTCGAAACAATACGATGCAAATTCAAAAGACTGTAGCTGAGAACGTTATTTTACTAATTCTCTTACATGAATCTGAAACGAACCAGTTGTCGCGTAATTAATTACTCAACCTTTAGGTAGCCACAAAGTAAATCTGACATCAAGTGTTATGAAATAACTTTATCTATGCAACTGGCATCACTGTATATGTTTAGAAATAATTTTATTTTTAAAGAATAAATTCGTAATAAAAATTCTAAGGAGAAAGTAAATTAACAACATGTCCATTCTCAACACCATTAGCTACATTCAGGTTTGGTAAGCGAAGTGGCTCTATGGGAGTTCCCGTGGCTTGAGCACATGACTTCTCCATCGCCATGTGTAACGGGAATACAATTTTTTCCCAAAAATGCCTCCATAAAAGCACCTTCCTCACAGAGAAATAGTTTTAACAGTCTCAGCAGCGGCCGAAGCGATAAAAGGCGCTGAATACTAGTAGGTAGGTACGGGCTGGAGACTTGGCTAACAAACTGGCTGCATGGGCGACTTCCTGGTTTTTACTATGTGTAATGTGAATGCGAACCAGTTTCGCTTAAAAAGACCTCGACACGGCATCTCTCTGTTGCCGTGTAGAACAGCAGAGCATGTATTAAATAAATAATTATTTCCAACAGGCTTTGCCATAAACTAATAAGAAAACTGACATATAAATAACACTGGTAAAATAACGGAGGATAGCAAAACGAACATAGACTTATTTTGATACTTTTAAATATAATCGAAATGAGTGCCTATTTAATTTATGAGTTAATATCCTATGTAACAACAGTTAATAATTTCAATTTCTGTAATATAACATGGAATGAACTTCACAATCTTTCGCGTTACGTTAGAGGTAGGGAAGATAATAGTAAGGCTGTATAACGTATTCCCACAGCATTCAATTTAATGGGACGTCAAATATGTTTAGAATGATTTAAAACGAGTTATTTTCTTAGAGCTAAGATTAAGTGCCAGTACACTTGAAGCGCAAAAATTAGCTTCATAAGTTGCTGATGAGATGAGATGAAAATTCGTTCAGGGATTTTTTTATGTGTTTAGATGATGAAAATATAAATTAAAACAATATTTTATTTTGATAAAATAATAACATAATTAATTTTAAAAATTTGCATAAATAATTTAAAATTTTTCTGAATTCCTCAAAGAAGTCCTTTAAATATTCCATTTTCCAATAAAATCCATGTTTAATCTCAAATATTGCATTGCGTTTAATTTTTTTTTCATTTTATGCTCATAAATGTTAATGTGTCGCATTTATATTACATTAACAAGAATGTAATCAAAGTTCACTCTTTTATGTCCATCAGGTTGGTTGGACACTTTGGGATTCCTTCATTCCATGCCTGGCATTAGGTATAAAGTTAGTTTTATACTGTGGCAGCCCATTTTGGGTAAGAGATGGGATCAACGTATGGGATTTGATTGCCAAATACAAAGTGAATTACAGTGCACTTATACCAAGTATGCTGGATAGATTAGAAAAACTTCAAATTTTACCAAGTAAGTCAATATCGTTACTTTGTAAGTTTTCATTCCTTTATTTCCATAAGTTAATGTACCTTAGCTTTAAGAGAAAATTTATACCTATTCTGTGCACGGCTGTTACAGACATTGAGAAAATGTGCATTCGTTTATGCTTGTGAGGAAATCTGTTTACGAAAACATTTTTGATTGAGCTTTAATTTGTAACGAAGTCAAATTAAATTATGAAATAGTCATTTTATAATAGGCTTGGAGGCATTATGACTTCCAAACTTTGCATGCGATAAATTTGCGTACGATCAGCAGTCGACGACCTCTTTTGTATGTAGATGCCCATTTCTCTCTTATATCTTATGCACAGACATTAATGCTTATGTAGAAAAATGTGCAGTATAAAATCGGAAGTCTCGGCGTTACATCGATAAAGATAGTTGCATATTTTTGAGCTCTCACATTTCTAAATAAAGGCGGAAAGATCGACATTTGAACATCGAATCGTGTATCAGCAGTTGTGGAATTTTATCAAGATTACGGAGATGTCAATTGTATGATGATAACTTACATCGCAGCTCAATGGGAACATTGCTTTCACACGTGTCTATATTCCGCTTTCACATGATATCACATAAGCGCTGATTGAACTAGAATATGTAGTTGCACTTCCGGTTAGTAGAAAAATTATTGCAGGAGACTTCAGTGCCGCAAGTCCTTTTTGGGGGTGTACCGGAAGAAAACAGAAGAGCAGTGCCACTTCTGGACTTTATAACATTCCATGTCCTGGCGATAGTTAATTCAGCTGACAGTCCTCCAACTTTCTGGACCACACGGGCAGAGGGTTGGCTAGATGTTACACTAGCAATTACTACCATTTACCCAAGAACAAACATTTGGAATGTCTTGACTGATTACCCATCATTAAGTGACCACCGCTTTATTAGATTCTATATTGACGTAGAACACCAATACTCAGTTAAAATTAGATGGAAAACAAAATATATAAATTCCCAGAAATTTGTCACCTTAATGCTCCATGTTTCTCATTTAGTTGCAGCCTTTAATAATGCAAGTTGTAAAGAAGAGCTCGATACGGCATACAATATGATAATAGACGCATTGCATATGGTCTGTGATAATAACCATAATACTGTGGTAAATTGAGTACTTAAACATAGAAGTCATTCTCCTTCAAATAAAATTCCATGGGGGAATTCCATGTTAGCTACCGCACGGAGTCGAGTTCGAGCCCTTAGGCACCATTTTCAAGGCTGCCGCGATCCAAACGAAAGAGAGGCACTGCGAATGATGTTCAAAAAAATCCGCACAGCCTATAGCGGCAAATTTCAAAGGCAGGCCAAACTGAAATGTTGGCAGAAATATTGTACGAACGTAAATGAAAAATTTGGTAGACTATTCAAAGTTGCTCGTGACAGGGCCAGTCTAACTATGCCAATCTGGCAGAATGCCAACATTAGTTCACAGATTGTAACACATATACTGGAAAAGATTTTCCAGCAGGATGATCCCCATAAAGACACAACAGTGCAGAAGGAAATACGAGCTAGTATTGAACAATATTGTACTTCGTCCGCGGTTGATTCTGAGCCTCTTCCGACAAGAAAGGAACTGAATGACGTAATCAAAAAGCTCAATCTAAGTAAAGCTCCAGGTCCGGATGGGCTTGATAACGGCATTTTTCAGAGCTTTCTTCTATTTACAGGCGTCCTGACAACTGAAATCCAGACAACCTGGCCCATGAAATTAATAAAATCTCTAAAAATCTCAATCCTGGAATAACCATAACTTGGATCAAAGAGCGCAGTGGCAACTTTGACAACGACATCGCCGAAAATCTAGTAAAAGAAGCCACTCTTTCCCAAGAAGACGATCTGAAACATCAAATTTCTGAAATCTCATCTACAACAAATCCTAAGGAAACATCTAAGCCACGATTGGCAAGAAGAATGGAATAACGTCACAACAGGCCGACGCAGTCACTAGTTCTTCCTAAAAAATCGCATAAATATCAGAAGCTAAGTCCTTCCTAACTTATTATCTCACTGGTCATGGCCCATATCCAGATTATTTTCTTAAAAGGAACCTCTAAAATAGCGAAAGTTGCGTCTGTGCAGTCAAAGGAGGATGTAGACCATTACCTATTCCTCTGCCTCTTATAAGTGACCTGCACATTCGGAAACCCATCTAAAGCCTGGTAATATTTCAACATCACCTATATCCCAGAATCATGAAAATTCACCAAAAGCTCAGTGTTCAAGGCCTGGACCTATACCAAATCACATCTTAGAACCGAAAAAAGAAAACGGAAAGAGCAATGACTAGCTACATCCCAATAACTGATTCCGGAAAACATCAACAATATCCATAGTGAACTCTGGACTAAAAGATTCGAGCTCAGTGGAGTCTTACCTGTAACCAAATATCTTCAAATTATAAGACATTCCAATATATTAACAAAGTCAAATCCCATATGTTTATCTACCAACATAAAAAGGAAAAAATTCCAGTGAAATGATATCATAAATACAAACTGCATTGTATTTAAGTAATCCAATATTGTACTGAGTATACTCAATAATTTGTGTTATATTATGTTACTTTGAAAATTTTTAAGTTATTCTGTTATGTTTAAATGTAACAACTCCGATGTATAACTCCAGCGTCCCTTAAGTCTCAATCACATTATGTTTTCGCTACGAGGGACTGGACGTCAAAAAAGGCAGTTCTCAGGAGACCCGCATATTTCCAGGAACTCCGCGTATCTAATACCATTTTCACTTACTACAAAGATTTGAACGCTAAACAGTAATCGAATATCGCTCAGACTGGGATCACGTGATCCTTCACAAGCAGAACTTTTGTCTGATTGGTTGATCTCTACGCGGGACAGAGCTCCAGCCGAAACATTTTCGGCGAAGATGAAAATCCCGCGTAGCTGGTACATCGTTTCTGTAGCTACGCGGGACTTCGCTTCCAATAGTGCTCTTTTTTCTAAGAATCCTCCCGTCTAAAGCAGTGCTACTAGAGCCTCGTTTCTCAGAAAAGTCCCGTCTAACAGGCACCGTTGCTAGATGTGATAGGACCGCTTTAGGAGAAAACGTATACAGTCAATTCCAGTTTTTCATACTCTAGTTGTTAGGGTACTGGGGCAATACCTCTTCGATTTTGTAGTGAAGTCCCTGATGCCCCATGCACTTTACCCGTTTACCTGTGGAACAGAATTTAGTACTGGACCTTTAAGAACTAAATTGCAGCATATACAAATTTGATTTGGGGGAAAAAAAAAACTAATCAAAATATTTATTTTTCTGTTATTTTTAGTACCAAATCTTTTATTTGCTTTATTACTTCATTTAAGTTTATGCTGCATTACCTTTAATTTAATTTATTATTTATAATATATTTATTATTAGTTTAGCTTAATTTATCTGTACAATTGCTTTTTATTTCAGTCTTAACTTTTATTTTTTAATAATACATATTACACATTCTCGCGCACAGCATTGAGTGTGTATGGGTAGGCATCGCCACGCACGGATAATCCTCTAACCGCATAATCCTCACCTGGGTAACTCCGAATAAGCTGTACTTGATTATGATAATTAAAAAGCTGGGATAATTTGATAATAATAATGCTTAGTATGGCTATTTGTCTACGGGAATTATGATCTAGGAAGAACGACCTTCATCTGTATTACATTTGAAGAAACTAAGAAAAGGTCGGCAGCATTCTACAAGAACACTTTTTGAAAAAAACAGAAACTTCCATAAGAGCGCCCTCGCATTAAAAATGTCTAGCATCCTCATGTACGTCAGTTTCTAATTTGTTAAAAGCATACTAAAAATATTATGTAGGAACACCTTTTTGCCGCGGCACCTCTTTGGAAGTGAAGTTTTACTTTGCTTCTCTGACTAACAAGTAAACGAAACTTCTACTTGGCACTAGGGTGTTTGCATTTTCACGTGAGTTCGTATGTTCAAATTAGGAAATGATCTTCATAAGAGGAGGAGCACCATTACGCCTTTGCATAATGATTTACCTTTTCGAAGACTGTTCATGTATTAACAATAGTTAAAATAATGTGCAATTTTATTTTGAATGTATTTTATAATTAAGCAGGAAATAGTTTTCAATTTTCATATCTTTCTAGGCCCAGGTTCTAATTTAGAATGCCTGAAGGTAGTGCTTGTGGGAGGAAGTCCGGTCAAACTTCAGAATCTCAAGTTCGTCCAGAGAGTAGCTGGAGAGGATACATTCGTCGGCATTGTATATGGTAAAAATGGGTTATTATAATTTGTACCATACAACGCTGCCTTCTCCATCCGACGGGCAATTCTTGTGCTAGCAAATTCGTGACAATGCCAAAAGCATTGTCACGAATGATTATTCTTACTGGAGGCACGATGCTTCTCCGTAACTCTCTTCAGGATTTGATGACAGGAATCATTAAGATTATGTAACCCGAAGCTTTATTTGTCCGTCATTTCATATCCCAGACTTTTGCATTTTATAATAATATCACTTACAGCTGATGTAGGCACATATAGCAAGAACCCATCTATTCTAATGACAGCGTTCAATGATCATATTCAAAATTACTCAGCTTAGTCAACTTACGTATTGTCTTTCTAATGCATAAGTATGATATTCTAATGTTATTTATTACCAGATCTTTTATCTCATTTGATAACTCTAGTTACAGCTAATGGATAACAACTATATCTGCTGTCCACAGAATTCACAGATTGCATCAGTTTCTATTGCACCTTACAGATTTGTAATTAAATAATTCGATACTTCTTTGTTAAAACTACCACTGCAAGCACTTAGTAACATTTAGCAGCATTTAAAATTAATTTGAGGAGAAACTAGAATATAAAACATAATTCATATAATTTTTAAATGTACGACATGCCAAGATGATGCACGATGTTGATTTTGTACACTTCTCCGATGTTTCTTTAGGCGAAAACAGATCACTATGTGGATAAAGAGAACAAAATTAATATTATTACAACGATAAGGTTTCGTTTAAAAAAATCAAACCATCAGCGATTTCCACAAATTGGACATTGCACAAGGCTTCGGCACTTCGCACATTGAACATTATATATATTATATTACATTACGCATTACTGCTAACGTAGGTATACTGTTAGACAAGTTTGCCAATTCTGGCGACTAATCTTCCGGTTTTGGCCAATGACGGAGGTGGCTTGTTTAACAAGAATTTATTAATAATTCTTTCCTTCATTGGCATGGTAAAAGTCTCGCCTTGAGAAATGCAAACGCATTCAAATGGACAATTTTAGTTACCTGTTAAATATGATTAAAATAGTGTATAATACCAAATGATCTCTTTCATCTTAATGAAATTATTTGTATGACAGTTACAGCTAATGGAAAACAACTGATATATTTTAGGAGCCACCGAGACATTCGGATGTTTCAGCGGGGCCGACATGAATTTACCTGTTTACGCTGGAGAAATCCAAGTTCCTGCGCTTGGGATGGATATTCGTGTTGTTGATGATAATGGTAAGCATTTATTCAGCTGGTAAATCTGTCTGTCTCTCTCTATATATAAACATATACACAGTGGTTCACAAAAGTCTTTACACCGCCTTTATTTTCATAACCTTCGATTGTAGCCATATAGGTACTTCCATTAACATATGTGTTTTAATTGATGCAGAGATTTATTATTTTGGTATCCCTTTTAATTTAAACAAACCAATTTTGTAAAAATTAGGAAATCGAATATTTTTATGCTTTCCTCCGGTCGCTATACTTATAGTTAGAAAAATGTTTACACTTGTTATATGAAATGTTTAAAATGTTTCAGTTTAAATGAACAATCAAAACAAAAACATAAAATGTTTCAGTTTAAATGAAACAATCTTAATGAGCAAAGTCGTATGCAAGTAACCTAATCTAACATTTTTTCATCGAAGCCATTTCGTTCGTAACTAATCGTTGTCGACTTCAATTGCATGGTTAAACGACTGTGAGGAAGACATCTTGCTGGAAAAACGATTAAAATCTTGACTAATTATATCGATGACGATTAAAACCATGATGGAAACTTTTCAAAAACACAAAAAAATTTTTTCGGTAAAATCTCAGTTATAATATAACTAGTGCTCTCACTATATGACGTAATAATAAAATGAAAAATTAAATTTTACAATTCATTAAAGGAAAAAAAATTCCAAAATATTACTGTAGCTTTCAAGAATCGAAACTAAAAGTGCTTTTCTTCAAAACATATTTGTGGAAAAATTTGAATTTTCTTATCAGTTTAAAACGGAATAATAAGAATAAACTAACTTTTCCGCAAATATCTTAAAAGTTTCTGCTGATTATATTTCTATTTCCTTTTAAGAACTTAATAAGGACATTTGCTTATTTCCTAAAATAGCATTAATGGATTTCACATGCAATCAATACTTAATAAGCAGATACAGATTGGAGTGTAATGTGTTTTAATACAGAGGAACTCCATTGTCCAGCAGCGTAAAAAATTCTAGATTTATTTTGAAAGAAACGTAAAAATGAAACTCTAACGCATTGTTCACATAAACATAGAAGGATTTTATGTATTTTTTATATTTATAAAGATTATAATTTTTTTCTTAATCCAAAGCTGGTCTTAGCTAACAGATTACTGCACGTTTCCTTTGTCCCTTTAAAGCTATGTATATGATTTGAATGACTTTCAGTTCAATTGTATAGAGGATTTTTAAACTTTTCTTTTTAGGTCAGTCTATAATTGGTGAGAAGGGCGAAATAATATTTACAGTACCATGTCCAAGCTTTCCTATTTATTTGTGGAAGGACGTCAATAATACCCTTATAAAGGAAACATATCTCTCTAAATATCCAGGTAAAGTCACATCTCCGAGTATAATTCAGTTGTTGAAGATTAATAGTTTACCCAACATAGAAAATGACAATTTATGCCTAACAAGCAGAGTTTGAATTTCAAATAATTTGATACACGTCACGTATAATATCAGTTTTCCTTCTTAAAGCGAATTCAGATTTGCTTTTCTTCCAAAAATTTTGATAGGAAATATTCAAGAAAAGCACAACAAGTAAAACTGAATATACTGTAATCGACACTGATCGATGTAGATTTTATTTTAGCAGAAGAGATTTAAAAGATTCAACAGAGCATCAGCGATTTTCTTGAATCATTTAAAGCGCTTGTGTTGTTTATTTTCGCTAGTTTTTTTTTTTTTTGCTATAATGCTTTTTTACTAAAATAAAATTTTTATTAATACTGAGCATTCCTGTATTTAGCATCGAGAAGATAGACAAACCTGAAGTCAAATCATATTCAGCATCTTGCTATATCGCGAAAACTCTGTACTGAATGAATGATCATGGCAGCAAGTCCACTGAAGTCTTAACGAAGATAACGTTTGGTTAAAAGAAAATCATTTACTGAGGTCCAGATTTATGTCCTATAAATGGCTAGCAGTTTTGGGCTATACTGAAACAACAGTGTCTGTCTATCCAGCATAGAAAGAAAAATTGAAGCAAAAATCTAAAGACATCCTGGACAACTGTAACTATTATCTGACAAAAATTATAACCTAAACACATTCCGTAACTGTACTGCCAGCTTCTTATGCGATGAATAATGCAGAACTATTGTTATCATTGTTGCCATTATCATTTAGGGGCATGTGTTACGACCATCATGATACTGCAAATAAAACAGAGATGACTCTGTAAAGATGATGCCATTCGTCTCTGCATTCATATCTTTCAAAATGACGCAGACGCCTCTGATGTGCTTCAGTATTGTGAACCTTGGAAATTTTACCTGATACTGCTCAGGATATTGAACAATACCATGTAAATAGGTATTATTTATTGCTCAACATGCTTTTATTCTTGAGTTGTGGTACTTTAGTTGTACTCGCATGAAATTTCATTCAGCGGTCTGACGGACTACTGGAATTTTCTGCTTTCCATGGATTACATATTTGCGTCGTTGCAATATCATTTTATTCAACAAGAGTACCAATCTCTTGAACTAAAAATCCATAGTCTTGATGTGCCATGATTCTTCGGCTACCCAAGTTGTTGGCACTGCTGTCGTATTCTTAGACGACGCAGTATTTTAGTTTTGTTCACATAAAATGTTAAACTAATTTCACGTTTAGCAATATGCCTGCTTTTTTCTTTCAATATTGTTTTAATGTTATTGCATTATGGTTTTCCCATTGCTGCACAGCCAGATAATCATTTACATGCCTTCCTCTCAAACAGAAAATTATGTTGTGAACAAAAAAACTGAACATGGGTCTTTATTTTTTAGTAATGGCGAAAAATGATTGTAACTACTGGTCAGCACAAGATTTAAAACAATGACTGAGATCTATAACTTACAGCGCTCGTGCAGAAAAAGCGTGGAAAACTCTATAAAACAGTGATAAGTTTTGATAATGCCGCAAAGATATAAATTTATGAACACGGATTTCAAACTTCTCTTTTTCATAGAACTGCTAAAATTCTAAATGATTTATCTATCTTGCACGTGCACGATCTACCTCTCAAGTATACTTCTAAAACAAATGCATTTCTCTCCTGTGAAAGCTGCTTAACTCATTTATTTCTAATAATTTTACCAAGAAAAATTTGTATATTGTAAAATTTTGTTTAATGTTCTTTAGTAGGACAAATGCTCTGGTTAAAATGTAAATTTCTTGTATATTTGCCAACTGTTATCAATCGACTGAAATTGTCTTAATTAATAAGATTTATCGCTTTAATTCATTTCTTAAATTGATATAGTAAGTCTGTGACTAGTTATTCTAAATGCCACTAAATGACTTGAGAAATTAAATAATGATGAATATGCTTAAGTATGTATGTATGTTCCTCACATTGTGGAAAAATAACGGTACATCATGGTGATGATCCATCAAATTTTGAATAACGTAGTCCTTCACCAGGACATGTGCACCTAGAAGCTCGAATTCTGAATTTCGAATTTGCTTTCTAACTTGTTTCATATTTTGTAAAATTTGAATGAATTTTTGATTAACAAATTCAACGGCTTCAAATCGAGCAGTGGCAACACTATCCGAATTAAAACATTTTTTTCTCCAGCGAGCGAGACTGTCCATCGGAAACTCTAAAGATATGTTGTTTTTTAATATTTTGTGGTTTTGCTGTTGAAGGAATTTTATGTTGTTTAAGTGCGAAAAACGCGACATTCAATATATAAAATTAACGCATGAAAATTTAATAAAAAGTAGACAAAAATATTTTTTGTTAGCCATCTTACTAAGAAAACTGAATATTGATATGTTAAACTGAGGAAAAAATACAAAAATGTATGTCAACACTGCATCCGAAGTTCTAAATATATGCATGTTGCTACACAGCTTTTAAAATTTTTGTGATTTTATTGTTAAGCTTTATGTATCGTACGGCAAAAGTTAAGAAGACAAAAATAGGGTTAACACAAATCAGTGCAAGAGCAGACTGGTAGACTGCAAGTTCAACAACAGCAAAAAACCTTGGGCTGCAGTTAAAATCTGAAAACTTTCAGAGTCATTTTATATGCTAATTGATTATTCACATTTTCCAGACAGATAAGCAAAATAAAATTGGATAATAATGCAAAATAATATATTTTTAGAAACAGGCTCCTATAAATTCTTTATTATGTCTAGGAATTTTAAATTAAGTACTTCTTGTCAAAGAATGAGTGTATTGCGTTTTCTTTCAGGTGCCTGGTGTCAGCATGATGAAGGTTGGATAAATCCCGAAACGAAGGGACTGCTCGTGATTGGAAGAAGGTGAATCATATGCTTCTAAAATCGTTTGATGAAACACAAAATTTTGAATTTATTGTTTCGATTTAGAGATCAATTCTATACGGTTTGAGTTCGCCTCATAAACCTAAAGATAATTTTTAGAGCTAAATAAACTGAAGTATTTAACATAAAGTATGTAAGTTATTGTTTTCAAGGAAAGTTATATTTCTCTCAAGGTAATAAATTTTAGTGATATATGTTTCGTTTTAAATATATGTCATCTGAAGACTTTTCAGTTATGTAAATAGTTCGCTCTACATTTGCATGTTTGTTAAAAATTGATTTAAAAGCAATATTTTAGATAAATTCAAGAGTTTTTATTGTAAAACACCCATAAATATTCACTTTAAATTATATTTTACTAATAGATTTCTTATTAAAAAAAAGGAGAAAAAATTTAAAAAAATCTATTAATCTGATAGTACTTGTCATTATTCGTACATTTACTTTATATTAGGTATTGACTTTCTTTCAGTGATGACATTCTGATACAAAATGGAGACCGTTTCGCCCCTACAGACGTTTATTTTGCCAGTGAGTGTTCATTTTTCTAATCAAAGATGATATTTTTTGTTACTATTAACATAAGTTGCAAGATTGAAAAGATAAATTTCAAATAGAAAATGTTTATTTTAGGTACTGTAATGATAATATGCTTCTAAATCATCCTTTCCTGTACAAATCTTAGAGCTGAAAGCGTCTTTATTATTGCTAAAATCAAGTCTTTTAAAGCTGTACCATTTAAATGCTTTTGCGAGTCTCTTCGTATGAAGATAAAAGATCTGGCATTAGTTCCGTAAACTACGACGAAAGAGCATTTTTCAGTAAAACATTTTTCTTTAAAAGAAATATTAAATGATGTCCGAATTCAAATTCCAAATTTCTTGGGATAGAGGCCGCAATAGGCAACGAACTGACTTACCAAGCCACAGAAATTGCAAAGCTAGAAATGAACAGTTATGCATTTTTACCAATCTAAAAAATTCTCTGAAAATGCGTATTAAGACAAATAAATGATTTACATGTTGCAAGAGAGAAAAGGTTTAGGTAAAGTTCCCCCATAAAAAGTTTTCAAAATGTACTAGCAATAGGTTTATTTATTTAATTACGGCAAAGCACACTACGGCTATCTGCCTAAGGGGAGGGATGCCTTCGTGGAGGACTTTCTAAGGGAAACTGGCTCCTATACACGTTACACATGGGGGAAAACCACGAAAAGGCCCATGCAGCCAGCCCGTTCACGGGATTCGAACCTCGGACCGAACTACTAGTGTTCAGCGACATCATTCCGCTCGGCCGCTGGTGTGCCCAGGACTAAGTATGAAACACAAACATCGGGGCAAAGCTTTTTGCGTATCGTGGTAATTGTCAAAATGCTTCCTGTCAGTACCATAATATGTTGTAAGTTGACATATCAACACATCTGCAAGTCGACCTTTACAGGTAAGAGATTACTTGTCACAAAGTTCCTTGCCACGGAATTCCTGTTTTAGTTTCCTCAAACGGGCACTTTTTCGTTTCTGAATGGGGCCCACACATTCTATCTTCGAAATCGGAACATTATACGGGTTACCTTTCGTAAGGGCTAAGAAAGTTTTACAATCTCCATCACCAATATAATTAACGTAACGAACACCATACTTTTCTTCGGATCGCAAAACATACTCAACATACTATTCACTTCCATTTGTGCAGATGAGTCTGAATGATTCTTATTACCTACTTTGTTATGTTCTAGTTTCCATTTCAAATAGCATTCCTTTGAAGATATATTTTTTCCAGTCTCACAACCTTTGCAATAGGAACTTGAAACGTAAAGATCAATAACTTTACCCGTTTCACCACCAGTAACGGACGTTACACCAAAACGTGAAGAATGTCCTCTAGTTTTTCATGCGCCATCTCCTCTAACGATCAAACCTGAAGAACCAGTCATTTTTATTTCTTCGCCAACTGCTATCTTCATACTATTTTCTGCAATATTATGTGTAGCAGCATGCATATGACTTACAATTTTGTGGTATGATTTCTGTGTTACAGCTGGTGGTAGATCCATAATTCCACAAAATGTTCTGGATTCTGTCAACCCTTTTCCAATACACTTCATTGCTAAAGTAAATCTTCTGTTTAAATCAGAAACATTTTGTTTTTCACCTACAAGTTTAGAATTTCTTATAGATGTTATTACTCCACAAGAGCAGCATGAAATATTTATTTTTATGGTTAAACCGTATAATACTTCAGAAGTAATACTATTTTATTATGGCAAATATGACAGCATAAGTATTCTTCTAATGCAGAAAATAATAAACTTTTATCATCAATTTTTGCATACCCTTCAAATTCACTGTCACCAGATACGACTAAATGATCTAGAAGTTTTTTTGCTGATGCAGAGACATTCGCACCTTCATCATTACTTCTTGTGTACTGATTTCCAAAAAAAATAT